AGGTACAAGACAAGGATGTCCTCTATCACCCCTCCTCTTCAATATAGTTCTGGAATCATTAGCTAGAGCCATTGCCATTAGAGAAGAGGGAGAAATAAAAGGAATAAGAATAGGTAAAGAAGAAGAGAAACTATCATTATTTACAGATGACATGATTCTTTATTTGGAAGACCCAAAAAATTCCACTAAGAAACTACTAGAATTGATAGACAAATTCAGTAGCATAGCAGGATACAAAGTTAATACCCAAAAGTCAATAGCATTCCCCTACACAGATAACAAACACACTGAGAGGAAAATTAGGGAAACAATACCTTTTACAATAGACCCAAGAAAAATGAAATACCTTGGAATTCATCTAACTAAAGAAACCAAAGATCTTTTCACGGAAAATTCAGTATTTTGAAAAAAGAGATCGTAGAGGATTTCAGAAAATGGAAAGATATTCCCTGCTCTTGGAAAGGAAGAACCAACATCATGAAGATGGCTATACTCCCAAAATTGTTGTATAGATTTTAATGCAATCCCTATGAGACTACCACCAACATACCTCCCAGACCTAGAAAAACTGTTCCTAAAACTTATCTGGAACCAAAAAAGACCTAGAATAGCAAAGGCAATCCTGGCCAACAAAGACAAAGCAGGAGGCATTACAATTCCTGACTTTACATTATATTATGAAGCTACTGTAATAAAATCAGCATGGTATTGGCAACAAAATAGACCTGAGGATCAATGGAATAACTGGTAGATGCAGAGGCCTCTAGGAACACACTCAGCCACCTGATCTTTGACAAAGGGGCCAAACACACTTACTGGAAGAAAGATAGTCACTTTAACAAATGGTGCTGGAAAATTTGGCTCTCTACATGCCAAAGACTAAATCTTTACCCAGGTCTATCACCATGCACTAAACTAAAGTCAAAATGGATTAAAGAACTGAACATTAAAACAGAAACACTAATTCTCCTAGAAGAGAAAGTAGGAGGATCTCTTGAAGACATAGGGGTAGGCAAAGAGTTCATGAACAGAAATCAAATCGCACGGGAAACACTTGAAAGAATTAACAACTGGGACCACCTCTTATCACTACAAGTGATCCCTAAGAGCTGGGATTACAGGCATGTGCCACCACGTCCAGTCTCAACTGCCATGTCAGTGTGCCCCGGGGGTGGGGCTGACACGGCAGGCCTGGGGATGGAACCCCCAGCTCCTGTGCCTGCTTGCAGGTGCTTTAATCTGCTGAGCTATTTGGCTGGCCCTCCTTTTTAAATATAGAGGTAAATAAAAAATAAATTTTGAGATAAAGTCTCAGTTGCTAACATGACCAGGCTAGGCTTGAACTTGTTATCTTCCTGCTTCAGCCTCTCGAAGTACTGTTGGACTTACAGGCTTGTGCCACAAGGCCGGGCCACTGTTGGTTTTTTATACTCTCATGTTCTCTTAGATGCACTGGTGGGGAAGAGAAATCTTATTCACAAGATGGTGAATAAACGTGAAAATAATTTAAGTATGTAGAGGTATTAGTAATTTGGAATTTTTATTTATTTGTTTTGTTTGTATAAGTAGGGTCTCATGCTGTAGTTCTCCAGGCTGGCCTTCAACTTACTATGTAGGCCAGGCTGGTCTCAAACTCACGGTGATCCTCCTGTCTCAGCCTCCCGAGAACTGGGATTACAGACGTATAATGCCACACACGAGTACTTGGAATGTCTTCTTAAAGCAGAATATACACAATGCAGAAGAACTCAGTTGATTCACTAAATTTTTCAAGAAACAATATAAGTCCTTGCTTAAGGCTCTAACAGCAGTAAGCCAATGTGGCAGTAACAGCCACACGACAGTTAAAGAGGCTGAAATTTTTCAGGCTACTTAGTTTATCCTGATCATTTAGCTACAACATCATTTTATTTTAAAAGTTTAAATGCCTAGGAAGCAAAAGTGTCATAAGTAGGACTTTTCCAATTCAAATCATAAGGATTTTGTAGTAACTATCTTGACTGATAAGACTTGACAGATGTGAAATTTCAAGAACAGAGAAAAAAATTAAATTAATTGTCTTACTCTTTTAGTAAGAAAAAGTTTCCTGAAAGAATTCTTCCTCTGACCACATCATTGAACCCTTCCCGCCTGGTAGCAGCATACATGGCTTCCGTAGACATATTAACGTCACATCTATGACCTAAAAATGACAAAAGATATGCACTACTTCAAAAAGAAGTAAAGTTTTGGCTGAAAACAGCCTAGATTTACAATTCTGTGACCAATACTAAAATGTAAGGACCTTGTTCATGCTAGTTTGCTTTGTCTAC